AATACAGCTTCAAAACAGGTAAGTATGTCCTGCTTTCCTCTGTTGTTAAAGGTTTTCACAGCTCTTATCTGACAAGCCACAGTACTGTGATTTCAGTGCCCCTGCGGTCTCTTCCATTCATCAGGTGAAAAAGCTTGCCAGGGAAGACACTGGAGGAACAGTTACCCTGAACAAGACAGAACCACTCTCAAGCGCCCAGCAGCATTTCAAACAAAAACATTCTAGCAGGTCTTCATGATGATCTTCAAATACCTACACAAAAAGGAAATCTCCAGAAAATTGAATAGTCCACTGAGAAATAAATAAAGACTTTATGCTAAGCACCACCTAGACAGCTGATATAACAAAGATTACGATGCTTTGGTTGAAATAAATGAATTTTTTATCACACTTCTGTTTTCCAGTGTGTCTACATTTATCTGTATTTATGATTCCTATTTTATTGTACATGCTGAATAAATAAATAAATAAATAAATAAAGTCAATCTTGGGCACCTTTCAGACTAAGAAAGGAAAGAGGAAAGGAAAGTATTTGACAATTATATAGGTTATAGGTTATAGGTTAAGAAATCATGGCTTTGTATTTATTTGTTTTTATTTAATTTCCTGATTGTACACTAAATACCATGGTGGCCATAGTAATTTAGCATTGTCTTTTTTTCAATAATTATTTTATTGCACAGAAAAAAGGAGCTTGTCCTTATCAATGAATGATTCTTTTCAGACAATATGTAAATTGTTAATCCTGTGGAATAATGACATCAAGGCCTCATAGCCTACATTCCCCATCAGTAATCTGGTCAAGTATCAACAATTTTCCAATGCTTCTCTTATGACAATTAAACTTGGACGAATGACAGAGTTCCAGAAATGGTAAATGTAAGCATAAATAAAACTGTACCTCAGCCGAGCAGTTCCCATGGAACATAGCTTGAGATTTATATCAAACTTTAGCATTGATGCTCACTCACCAATGCTGCAGACAGCGAAAGCATGCTTGAAAAGGTTTTTGCAGGGGGCAGCATTAGAACCACCATGGCACTGATTTAGTTCTACCAATACTCTGCCTACCGATACTCTGTTTCATCAAAATCTTTTTGGTGTTTTTTTTTTTGTTTTGTTTGTTGTTTGTTTTTCTAGAATATAAAACACTCACATACAGTGAAGCTAAGTCCATGGGCTATTTTCATAACCCCTAAGTCATTTGTCTTCTTCTTCAGATTTCTACTTATGACCTTATCACACTCAGATCTTACCATCTTTTAATTTTTGTTTCTTCCTTCCTGTCATTCTTTTTTTTCAGGTGTCCAGTTTAATAAAGATAACTCCTGATAAGTATCTACCTAGATATTGCTTTAAAAGAGGGAAAGGTGGGGACCTTGACCAGGAATGATAGGTTCTCATATAAGCATTTTCCCAAATCTGATGTTATTTACAGTGTATGAAAACATTTATCTCCATAAAAGAACTGAGAACAAAATAGGAAGACAGGATTTTGATCAATACTGATTCTGGTTAAGTTTGATCAGAGCACTTTACATTTGGGGCAAGTCTGGAAGTATACTCACAAAAATGTCAGGAGCTGATAAGAGTCTAGCAGTGTAACAGAACACTGTTGATTTGAGTAGGGAATATTCAGACAGTTTTTTTTCTTTGTGTTATCTGACCGTAACAAGGGAATAAGATGTATTATCTCAATTCCATAATTAATCTCATTGCCATCTCTTTAGTAGTGTTATTACATTGCTGACAGTTTTTAGGATGTCGTTTTGTTTTTTGTAATTCTTATACTACACCCACTTTTGCTCTGTTTGAGGGCCTTCCAGGAATATATTAATTAATGTGATTAACCTCTATCGTTTGTTTTTTGTTTGTTTGTATTCCCTTTCCTGATCTTCTCCAGGGAGTATGTTCAGTGAGTGTTTTGTTTGAAATTTACTTGATGTATATTGTTCTGTATATAGATGGGTTGTGGTGTCTTATTATTAGACAAACAAGGTCAAAGAAATGCACCTTGTACTATAACAATGGTGGCAAATTTCATGTGAGCCCTTCTTTGCTGTGAGAATTCTTTAACTGTCTTAGCTGACAGATCTCCAGGAAAGCTCTGCCATGTGCACAGGTAAGATTTACCCTTCTCACATGAAGCCTGAGTCCACTGGGCAGGAAGCATATCCTTATCCCATAGATCTCTGTAGTCACCATAGGCTCAGGCCATTGAGCATGCTAAAAGTAAAAATGACCATTTTCAGTTCTGAACCCCAGCTTCCAGTGAGTGCCCTCTGTTGTTGATGCAATTAGATGATAAATCTTGAATGACAAGCATTGAATCAGAACAGATAAAGGATAAATGTCTTGGTATAGGAGAAAAAGAAGGAAGGAAGGAAGGAAGGAAGGAAGGAAGGAAGGAAGGAAGGAAGGAAGGAAGGAAGGAAGGAAGGAAGGAAGGAAGGAAGGAAGGAAGGAAGGAAGGAAGGAAGGAAGGAAGGAAGGAAGGAAGGAAGGAAGGAAGGAAGCACAAGATTAGATAGATGTGGGAGAAGATGAGGTTTATTTTAAAACACTTATTATTTCAAAGGAAACAAACTACCTTTTGTATTTAAAACAGAACAATTTCTAGCTATAAGGAACTCTTTCAATCAGCAAACTCATGTGATGAAATGCCGTAGGATTTACTTACATATCAAAAGAGTTTAGTTAATAACATGTAAACTTGTGGTGTTTTCACAGAGAGTAAAGTGTTGAACCATATTACAAGAAAAGCTTTACCACTGCAGTTGCCTACTAGAGATGCAACTGCTGAGCTCTCTTGGATGTGATGGTCTGTAAAAAGAGAACAGAGAAAATATTAAGCCAAGGTTCACATCCAAGAATGGAATCATTAATGAATAACCTTGCTGGACCTAATTCTTTGCTGGATTAAACCTCATGTAAAGTCATTCAAGTTGGTGGGTTATGCAGTGCATAAGTCAGTGGAGTAAATTAGCCCTCTGTCTTGAAGCCAAGAAACCAAAGGAAAGAGCAGCCCAATAAAGCAGGATGAAATGCTGATATTAGCTGAACACCACCGTTCTTGGTACACTGTGTTCTTTGTGTCCAGCAGTGAATATGTCATCTCTCCCAGGTGTAAAATCTTTGCAGCAGCACTATAAGGCAGATTTATAATAAATGACAAAATTAATGATTTAGTTCTGTTGTAATGCCACTTCTGGGCTCCCAACAGGAGCTTAAGCAGTTAGCAGACAACACCTGTACTGGCTACAGTGTGGTCTCCAAATCAAGCCTCAATGTTTTCACAAAAATCTTGAGCCTGGCTTTTTTTTTTTTTTCTATTTTATTTTTTTTTCTATTTTTTTCTTTAGTTGTATTTCATATATACAGATGTAGGTACAGAGAGATTTCTATAGAGAAAATTGGCACAAATACCAGACAGATCTGTGTAAAAGCTAGACTAAATTAAGCACAGTCACTGCCTGCAATATGAAGCCACTAAGAGACAGAGGAAATTTGTTTGAATTTCATTTGTACAGATAAAATTAATGATGATAGGAACGCAGAACACTGCAGTGATTGTAGAAGTGCCTTGGATTTGTTAAATAAATAAATAAATAAATTCATTTGCACTAACCACTCTTCATAATAATACATAGTTCCCACATGTCACTGCATGACCCACTCATTAGTTTGTCTGGAATTAAGATCATAATCTCCCTCAACCACAGATTATGTGTTGTTTTGGTTTTTGTACATCATGCACACTTAGAACTCAGTCTTAGCTGGAGCTGTTTGATACTTTTTATTATCCAAATAAAGAATGAATTCCAAAACTCTACAGCTGGATTCAGAGCTCATGAATAATCTCTGTGAGGCCACCTATACAGGAATAACGCATTTGAACATCATGGCTCACTTTTCACTACAAGGAGATGAAACTTGAATTCCTTTGACTTCCTACCATGCAACCCAGCAAAAAGCTAAAGGATGGAAAACAGTTAGTTGACAATCATTAGAGAAAACTTTCCAAACCCATATGTACGGGAAGCCATGCAGAGTGCAACACATGGCACATGATGCTGTTCTGTTGCTTCTGGCATGGTTGTTACCTCTCAGCCAACAGAGCTTGGTGCAAGGACTAGCAGAGGTCTCAAGTGATACTTAGCTCATGACATTTGTATACTGGCCATTTTTTTCCCTTTTTTAATTATTTTTTTTTTTCAAGTGATGATGTAAAATAAGCAGTCTGCCATGGTACTCAAGCAGCACTCTGGTTTTCAATTTCTTTAAATTGTGTTATTTCTGTTTATAATTCACTTCTGGGCATGTTCTGGGAGAGGAATGGAGGTAACAAGATTTGAATTTGTCACCTACAGCATGAGATACTGATGCAAACACATCCAGACCTAACTAAATTGACAGATATGTCTTGAGGCTTGGGGACTATTGGAGAGACAGGAATGTATCTCAGCATCAGATCCACAGCCCTAATTTTAAGTGATAAAATATCATTATAAAGATGGTTTACAAGTGAACTGACTTTGTCTCAGATTTTGTTGGCAAGATTCTGCTAAAAAAGCAGAGTTCTGCTAGAGGATTAAGTTTTGTTGGCAAACAAATCTGACTGGCATAAACATTAATATTTGCAGTTGTTAAACTGCCATCCACCTAACCATCCATCTAGTTTCCTAGTTTTCAATAATTAAAAAGAAGCTATTTCTATAATGGAAAATCTTCTATCAGTTTTCTGGAATTTTTATTGCAGGGTTTGTTTTTCAAGAAAAATGCCAACTTCTGACCATTTTCAAAAGAATCACATAAAATAAGGAAATTCACTCGTTATTAGAATTAACTAACTGTTGTAAAAAAAAAATGATCATTACCTCATCAAATATAATCTGGAGAAGTTTGTTATTTCTGTAGTTTCTGTTGTTGTTTTTCTAAAACCAACTCGTGTTTTTCTATTGTATTTGTTTTACATCTAACGCTATTACATTTTGTTTCAGCTGGCGGGCTTCATCTATGCCTGTTATGTTGTGAAATGTATTACTGAAGAAGAGGACAGCTGTAAGTACTAAAGCTTTATTACATGCAAAATGAATTCTGTTTTTTAAATCACCCTTCCACTGTGCTGGCTCTTGCTGACTTGAACCTAAATGCCTTACTATATTGTAGCCAGAACACGTTTTCTGTCCATCAATCTTGATCTATAATTTCCAAATGCCTGGAAGACAAAGGAGTTATGAAATGTAGCTTAAAAAAATACACACTCCTTTTTTCTGAATAGATTGTTGTAATTGTTTTTACCTCACAGTTTATCTTAAGATAAACACACACACAAAAAACAAAATCCTAATTGGCAAACCCAACCTCTTTTTTTTGTTTGTTTGTTTGTTTTCTATTTTTATTATTCCATGCTGTTAACTATTTTCACATTAATAGGCTACCACTGAGGGTATAGCTCTTCTATGTTGACCTCTGTGTTGGCTTGTAAAAGCACTTCTGGCAAGAAATAGCTTTAGATCATTGCAGAACCTTCATTTATGGGAGGTGAAACCATAGAGTTCCTCTTTGTTCATGCTGTTCTCAGGGTACAATTACAAGGAACAAAATGAGTTCATAAAGATGTATGTTTGTGTTTCTTCTGCTTATTTATGTCAATAGAAGCCTGTTGAGCAGAATATGTTCTTAATACACGTTATGGAGCCAAGCCATTTCATTTTTTCCTCTACTCTAACCTTGATTTTTTTAAAAAGGGCCACTGCAGCATTTCTGTACATGTTGAGATTCACACCAAAGCACTTCAGAATCAAGTATCAGAACTGCATGTAACTTTGATAAAATATACATGAATCCTAGAGAGAGTTTTGCAACAGGAAGCTAAAGGGCTTTTATTTGACTGAGAGCACTGCTAGAGCTGGTGGGGGTTCTTTTGTGTACTCTGCTGTGTATAGAAAACAGCTGAAACCCTGTAATCTACGGGTAATGCAGCGCCACTGTGAGCCGTCAAAGGAAGATTTAGTGCTGAAATCAAACCACACTTTGGAGGTCTCTCAGATGATGCTCCTCTCAGTTGTCTGTGTGGTTCTGTGGAGGTGAGGAAGGCAGGAGTAAAAAGAGTGTGTGGACAAGTGTGTGGAGCAGGGATATGCCATAAATATGTCTTGTCTTCTTAGTGATGAACCCAAGTCATGTATGCTTCCTCATATTCTCCAGCTTAGTGTGCTCTCTGTTCACAGAGCTAAAGTATGGTGATTCCTTGCTCCTCAAAAGAAATCCTTTTTAATACCATCCTGCCTTCTCTTCCGAGGGCTTAAATCTTTTTCATTCTTCTGTAATGCTTTAGGGTGTAATAGAAGTAAAAAGTGAGGAAGGGACTGGTGACTTGGCTCACTGAACAGGCGCAGAAGTCAGAGAATGTTTGGAAGATCTCTCCTGTGGGCTGTAAGACAGTGTTCCTGGCAGCAAGGTGCTGCGGCCAATATGCTATTGTTTTCTGCTCACTGCCAGGGGAGCTCCCTGGTGTTCAGAAGCCGCAGATTATCATGCTTCTTTGAACCTTTTCTTGTGGTTGTCTTACCCGTTTTGAGTCCTTTATTAATTCTCTAGTATGCCTTCACCAGGCCCCCTCTCCTTGCCAATGAGCTGTCTCAGCTGCCTGGAAGAGCTTCACTGGAGCAAGACCCCACTCAACACAACATAGCCCTCGTGAGCACAGCCCATGTGGTCTTGCTGCCAGTGAGTTCTGGAAGCCTGGATGGAAAAAAAAAATAAGATTAAAGGGAACTCAGTGGCAGAGTCATCCCAACACTGTACCAACTTTCAGACTAGATTTGGCCTCTTGAGGTATCATAAAATGAAAGTGGCCTTACTTTCCACTGAGAGCTCCCCATATAGATACCCCCAACCAGGTTTGATTTCAGAATGTTGTATTTCCATTTAGATCTGTTTTCTTGCCTTTCCCTCCCTTTTGGCATCACATGACTCTATCACACTCCTCTGGGATGTAACGTATCTCTTATGGATGCCATGCTATTTAGTATTCATAAGTGGAATGAAGACAGCCCTCTTGCCCACAGTGTACTCCCTCCCCCAAGACTTGCTGGACATTTCTGCTAGTTCAGCAGAAAAATCTTTACTGTGCTGCCCACCAACCCCTGCCCTGTATGCATACCTGGTAAAGAATGAGGACTGGGGTTGTTCTTGTATGCAGTTTGGCAGCTGGTGCTCCTTCTGTGTGTTAAGATGTGTCAATTGAGAATGATCCTCTACAAGACAAGTCACTACAAAGCAACTCTCCCACACCCCTGACATGCTTTCCTAGCTTCTGAAATGGTTTGTGAAGAACAGCAGAGGGGCTCTGCCATCTTAGCCACCTCCACATTCACAGGCATCACAGGGGAAAGAATCTGGTTTTAGATCTCTGGTTTTCAGGACCACCCATACACTTGTATGAGTGGGATGCCTTGGTGCCAAGCACAGAGGACCGTAAGAACAAACCTATCAGGCCTCACCAAAGGGGCACCAAGTCCTGTGGAATGGTTGAATGAGACTGAATCAGTAGAAAAACTTTTTGGTTTGGACATGCTGAATATCAATATGCTCAGCTCCATTTCTTCTACTTTGCTAATGGGTCATGGAAGCAACAGCTGCCTGGAAGAGAAGAAGAGGCAGGAACACTAAGCCTGCAAGAGTGGACAGAGAAAAAGAGAAAAAGTCAAGCAACCTCCAAGAGCCAGACAGGGGCATATTCCAGATTTTAACCAGAGGAATGCATCAGCACTGCTCAGGAGCAGAGAAGGTGCCTTCTGTTGCAATCTTCTATTGGCAGTGGATCCTCAACCATAGAAACACAATCAAGTTGCAAACTACTTCAGCTGAATTAGCTTTGCTCTCAGAATAATTGGAACAAGCTGAAAGAATAACTATTTCTCTGTTCTTTATGCAGATTTTATTAAAAGAACAAATGAGAGAGGGAAGAATTAAGCAAACATTTCACTAAGATTAACCTTCTCTAACCTCACTGAAGGATTAAGAATGGAACAATAAAATGATCAAATCAGGGTCACAACTAAGACTGAGTCAGCAAGCCTTGAGGTTTTAATCACCCACACATTAAATATATCCAGCAGCAGACCCCCTAAATCAAAGTACAAGTCTGCACTACCTCTCAATCTGCTTTGGGTTAATTCTGCACTGAGGATTAAAGAGGAAGCTGCTCTCCTTCTCATTGCAGTCCCAAGCAGAGCTCTCACACTGAGCACACCAGAGCCAAACTGCAGCTCCCATCTCCAAGAATCAGACAAGGGTGATTTTCTCCAGCTACTTCTCTTGTTGGTTTGTCAGTCTCAAAGGTCTCTTCTGCATCTTGTTCCCTGTGGTTGTGTAGGGAAGAGGAACTGTGAGGATCGCAGCACCTCAGGTCTTGGTCAGGGAAAGACAAAGGAGGATGGGTGTCCAGCAGGGCTGCTACTAACTCAGTGCTCTCCTTTTCACTGTTGCCACTGGTATGATGACTAAGCCATTGTCATTCTTCCTTCATTAGCATTATTTGCTGCAGCAATTAAAAATAAAGCATGGAAATGTCAGCAACAATCATTACTTGGAGGCATTCGACAGCAGTAAACTTCTCGGAGCTCCTCATTTGTTTTCTAAAATCATATTAGGCCTGCATTTTTCAAAGGCTGCACATTATTTTTAATAACATTGAAATGTTCGTTTAATGTGTATTTCCTCACTAGCAATTTGGCTCCCTGCTATAAGATGTTACTGCCTTAGTAAAGTAAATTCAATGTATTTTTGAAAATGTTATTATATATACAGATTTTTAGTGGAAAACTCTGGAATGCAAGCAGTGAAGCTGCATTCTCCTGGGGCTTTTTGTCTGTAAACACTTAAAAAAAAGAAACTTGTGTTACTGAAGTGGGAATTCTGCACTCTCCTTTCAGATTCTGGTGAGGGAAAGGGGACTGGTTTGTTATTAGAGGGACAGCTCCGGCCAGGAAAGAACTCCAACCCAAATGTCAGGAGATAATGGAAAATTTAGCCTATTTTTCACAGTGAAATCCTAATCCACAAGGTTCCTTTGCAGATCCAGACGGGGTGTGTGTGGGGGGGGAGGGGGGGTGGCGGGGAGGAGTAAATCTACCCTATCAAAATTCCAAGGCAAACAAAGAAATCTGACCCATCAGACTGCTCCCAGAGTACCATGGAAAGTACCATATTAGCTGCTAGTACGGCTTTGCACTAGCATCTCACACTAGCAGGGATCCAGCTTGCATGTACATTATCTTTTCTCTTGGCATTGTTTCTAGGATAAACCACAAAGCGAAAGAAATCACAACTAGGTTAAGTAGATTTTTGCTGCATATCCCCTTGAGCCCAGCATTTGGAGATGTCTGACACAGAAATAAAGCTCTAGCTAACCTTTTAAAATCATTTTACTTCCCCCATGTAAAAGCTTGAATTCAAGATTCTATTTGAATTACTGAGAACATTCAAGAGTACAATACCCTGGATAGTGGATATCTACTGGTGTGCAATACAGCGTAACAGTTATGTGACAATAAACTCATTGCCAAACAACAACCCATTCTGAGATCTCATGCCTGACCTGGAAAGTACAAAGGTGGTGAAAAGATTTTCCTTTGGAAGACAATATTAAACTTATTAGTTGTAAGAGATGAGAAATTTGGACAAACATACAGGGTAGAGAGAGTAGACTTTATTTTTAGCTCTGTTACAGGCTCCTTTTCACCTATGGGCAGGTTATTTAACCTCACTATACTTCTATTTTCCATATTTAGAATGGGAAATAATGACAGGGATAAACTCACAGGTGTGTTGCTTCATAACTTTGAGCTTCTAGGATGAAAGACACTATTGAAGTGCAGAATATGCTCGGATAACACTTTATTTCTGTGCCAAATGCTTTTCACAACCTGCTTAGAGAGACATTACAGAGAATTACTTTCTTGTCTTCCATCCCTGCTTAAAAATCTCTAAGACAAAGAGAAACTAAAAGAAAATTTCTCTCCTGTCTTCTGGTGAATATGGCTGTAAATTCT